AGTGAAAGTCCATTTTTATTGTGTGTGTGTGTGTGTGTGTGTGTAATATTATTAATAAATGATTATTAAAAACACTTATCTTACAAAATCTTAATTTTGAAATATTTAAAATTATAATTCAAATGAATTATGAAATTATGATATATTATTAAATATATGTTTTACTATGGAAACTTGCTTCTGCCACAAAATATATTTTTTTAAATCTCAGAATTGTGAGGAAAAAACATCGCAATTATCTTTTGTAATTTTGTATTTTGTTGCAGAAAAAAAGAGTTGCGAGGTCTAAATTTGGAATTCAGAGGGAAAAAAATATCATAATTGCGAGATGTAATTCAGAATTTGCAAGAAAAATATTTGAATTGTGAGATAAAAAGTCACAATTACCTTTAATTTTTTAATTTTTTATTCTGTGGTGGAAACAGACTTCCATATTTTACAGATACCTTTTGGTATCAAGTGATTTCTTAGAAGGATTTCTTCACTGAGATCATTGTAATGCATCGTGGGATTGAGTGTCCGATTTCTCAGGTGATGTTGCCAAAATAAGGTATCTTATAAGGCAGCATAATGTACATTTTAGAACAACCTATGATGACTTAAAATGTTGTCTAGGTAGGCAGCTCACTAGGTTTTGGAATGGAAGAACAGTGATAATAATGTTAGAAGTATATTGTTTGATATACAAAGATGTTCAGTTAGTCTGTTTGTTTTTTGTTTTTTTTGCTTTTACAAGAAAGCTATAGCTGTGTAAACAAATATGTAATAGTTTACGCAGCATATCATAAGACAGAAAGCATCATTAAAGCAAACATGGCAGCTGAACAGAGACGCTAGTGGAACGAGGAAGCTGTCAAGAACGATGAAATGAATTTGAGGTTCCAAAGTTTTGAAGTTTTAGTACATATTTGATTTTCATGCCCTTTTCACATAAGTGGTTCTGCTCGAATAGCCACAGTGAAATGTCATTACCTTGAGCTTACCGACGAGAAAGTCTGTATTTTTATTCGTCCTGTGAGAATGAAATATTCCCACGGAACAGAGCGGCTTCCGGGCGGTGTGGTCTGCTAACCGTAATGAACCCTGGAGTTTATAGGGCTGGATTTGAGCGCCCACACAAGGCTCTCTCAGTGTGAACATGAAAGGTGCCTCAAAAGGTCATTCACAATCAGAGCCCAGAGAGGAAGCCCTGCCCTCTCGTTCTTTACCTCTCCACCTTACAATCAATCACAATCTCTCCAAAAAAATCAGGCTGAAATTGTTTATTCCAGGTGCTTGCAGCCAATCGCTGATTGTTCCAGAGTTGTCATTTATAAAACAGGCGACTGAAAGAACGACGTGCTGATTTTATGTAATTTGTAGGGAACACGAAAGGAGAACAAAACAACAACTGTTTTGTTAAACAATGTTAAACAATAGATTTTACTCATATATATCAAACACAAAAATGTACTAAGAGTAAACACAAACTACCACTAGAATATCCCATTTTATGCAATAGGTCATCAAATTTGGCATAGTTTTATCTATCTGTCTGTCTGTCTGTCTGTCTTCAAAGGGGTTTAGAATATTTACATCAGTGTATATATATGTGTGTGTGTGTGTGTGTATTTATATTTATAATTTATATGATTATATGAATCTATATGATTTATGATTATATATGATATATATTACTATAATTTATATTTTAAAATATTATAAACCTCTTTGAACTTTAGGTCAAATTTATTGTCACATAGGCACATTTATTGTCTGTGTCTTTGTTAGTAGGTTATTTCTTTCATTTTGAATAATGTGAGCAGATGAACATTATATTTGTTTTAGTTCGTTAGATTAAGGACTGTCATTACGGCCTTTAGTTAGTATTACTCAGTTTGAGGAATGGCAATGTTAACATGTTTGTTTTCGTTTGAGCACAGAGTGAAATGATCAATGATGATCAGTTTGCTTTTATATCAATGTAAATGTCGTATGATAAATGATAAATGTCTTTATTTGCATGCTACCGTGGCTGAGAGAGCTCAACGCACTGCAAATGAAAAAACACCAGCAAATTAAGAAAACATCTTCATCAATTTGACAACACACGCGCTGCAAATTCTCACAACACAAACAAATACAGAAACGGCTGCAAATACAAAACAAACAAAAACAGAAACACGCTGCAAATATGCACGAACCACATCGGAAATGTTTAAGGGAAGCACGTTTCTTTGTTTGTGTTGTGAGTATTTGTAGCCGTTTCTGTATTTGTTTGTGTTGTGAAAATTTGCAGAACGTTTCTGTATTTGTTTGTGTTGTGAGTATTTGCAGAACGTTTCTGTATTTGTTTGTGTTGTGAGTATTTGCAGAACGTTTCTGTATTTGTTTGTGTTGTGAGTATTTGCAGAACGTTTCTGTATTTGTTTGTGTTGTGAGTATTTGCAGAACGTTTCTGTATTTGTTTGTGTTGTGAGTATTTGCAGAACGTTTCTGTATTTGTTTGTGTTGTGAGTATTTGCAGAACGTTTCTGTATTTGTTTGTGTTGTGAGTATTTGCAGAACGTTTCTGTATTTGTTTGTGTTGTGAGTATTTGCAGAACGTTTCTGTATTTGTTTGTGTTGTGAGTATTTGCAGAACGTTTCTGTATTTGTTTGTGTTGTGAGTATTTGCAGAACGTTTCTGTATTTGTTTGTGTTGTGAGTATTTGCAGCGCGTTTCTGTATTTGTTTGTGTTTGCATTGTTTGTTGTTGTGAAAATTTGCAGCGCGTTTCTGCATTTGTTTGTGTTGTGAGTATTTGCAGCGCGTTTCTGTTTTCTGTATTTGTTTCTGTTTGCATTGTTTGGGTTGTGAGTATTTGCAGCGCGTTTCTGTTTTCTGTATTTGTTTCTGTTTGCATTGTTTGGGTTGTGAGTATTTGCAGCGCGTTTCTGTATTTGTTTGTGTTGTGAGAATTTGCAGAGCGTTTCTGTATTTGTTTGTGTTGTGAGAATTTGCAGCTCGTTTCTGTATTTGTTTATGTTGTGAGTATTTGCAGCTCGTTTCTGTATTTGTTTGTGTTGTGAGAATTTGCAGCTCGTTTCTGTTTTTGTTTTGTGAGTATTTGCAGCACGTTTCTGTATTTGTTTGTGTTGTGAGTAATTGCAGCGCGTTTCTGTTTACTGTATTTGTTTGTGTTTGCATTGTTTGTGTTGTGAGTATTTGCAGAACGTTTCTGTATTTGTTTGTGTTGTGAGTATTTGCAGCACGTTTCTGTATTTGTTTGTGTTGTGAGAATTTGCAGCTTCTGTATTTGTTTGTGTTGTGAGTATTTGCAGCACGTTTCTGTATTTGTTTGTGTTGTGAGAATTTGCAGCTCGTTTCTGTATTTGTGTTGTGAGTATTTGCAGCACGTTTCTGTATTTGTTTGTGTTGTGAGTATTTGCAGCTCGTTTCTGTATTTGTTTGTGTTGTGAGAATTTGCAGCTCGTTTCTGTATTTGTTTATGTTGTGAGTATTTGCAGCTCGTTTCTGTATTTGTTTGTGTTGTGAGAATTTGCAGTGCATGTGTTATCAAATTGATGAAGATGTTTTTTTAATTGGCCGGTGTTTTTTCTATTTGCATGTGTTTTTTTTTTCATTTACAGCGCGTTGAGCTCTCTCGGCCACCGTAGCATGCAATCAACAGTGCTTTTATGTTTTGCATTTGTCATCCAACTGAATGTGTTTTCTTCACATTTTGACCGAAAATATTTGGAATATCTTGTGTTCATGTACAAATATGCGTGTCTGCTCTGCACTAAAGCAGATTTTGTATTATTTATTTGTTTTGTCATATTTTGGCTGTAGTTGTCATGTGGATTAAAGGTCATTTAAGGATTAGAGACGTTTTGACCGAAATCGATTAACTGTTTTGTGCTGCCGCAGCTTGAGTGAACAACAGCAACATTCACTCAGACTGTGAGACAGTGAAGATGGCTTGCATGCATCTTAGGGTAATAAGATTAAATCGCAACATTTTAACCTTCATCTTACACATAAGGGTCAGACATGTTAATAGAGGATTTTGAAGCATGACTGAAAATTCAGAGAAAGTCTCTTGAGCTATAGTTGACATACATTAAAAGTATAGAGCTATTTGAGACATTGATGAGATCCCAAAAGTCTTTTTTCCCCCCTCAGGAGAAGTAACTGGAAAGCAGATCTGAATTTGCTATCTATTTATTGTCATTTATATCTTGGAGAAATTTTTAAGATCCTATAGAGATTTGTGTTCCTATGAATTACCAAATGTGCATTTTTTTTCAGTGCTAAAAGGTTTACTAAAAAGTGTGAACTCAGAATTCTGTGAAAAAAATCATAATTTTGAGATATGAACTCACAATTGAGAGTTTATCTCGCAATACTGATTTATAAACTTTCAATTCAGACTTTTTTCTTTCCTCAGAATGCTGAATTTACATCTTGAAATCTTGCATTTCTGAGGGAAAAAGTCTGAATTTAAAGTTTATAAATCAGTATTGCGAGATAAACTCTCAGTTGTGAGAAAAAATTCAGATTTTTTTCACAGAATTCTGAGTTTAGATTTTGCAATTAATAACTTGCGAGAGATGAGCTCACAATTCTGGAAAAAAGAAAGTCAGAATTGTGAGTATATAACACAAGATTAAGATTTATAATTGCGAGATTACATTTCTGAGAAAAAAAGTCTAAAGAAAACAAATCAATTAGTACAAATCAACACTGTCAATTAGTGCTAAAAGTATCAAAAAAATGTTTAATAACAACGTTTTGGTCACATGACCTTCATCAGCTATCTTCAAACATCAAAAAAAGTCTGAATTGTGAGATGTAAACTTTAGGAAAAAAGTCGTAATTACCTATTTTATATTTTTATTCTGTGGAGAAGATAAGCTTCTGTAGTAAACAAATACTGCTCTCTTTGAGCAGCTTGTCAGCTTCAGACTCTTGGGACTAACTGTTTGGCCAAATTACCCTGTGGCTTTGTTTTTAACTTTCTTTTTCTGTCTATGCAGGTGGGATTTTCGAGACACTTGAGAATGAACCGATTAGCGTGGAGGAACTCGCCTTCAAATTCGCTGTAACCAACATTAACAGAAACAGGACTTTAATGCCCAACACCACCCTCACCTACGACATCCAGAGAATCAACCTGTTCGACAGCTTCGAGGCCTCCAGGCGAGGTTTGATTCTTACATTTACACATTTGACAGACACTTCTATCCGTTGTATGCACAGGTCAGTTCATGCATTCCCTCCGCGTTGAACCCATGACTTTGGCTTTGCATGCTTTACCATTTAAGCTGCAGGAATGATAACAAAAAGAGCTCAGTACCAAAACTCACATGATTATATACACTGTAAAAAAATTATTTTAGAAGTAAATAAATATTATTGGAGTGTGTTTTACAAGAAAATACTACTTTCAGTTTATTTATTTTAAAATTTAATGTGTTGAAGTTTTTTTTGGTAACTGTTAGAAAAATTTTATAGCAATTTTTTGAGTGAAAATTGTTTCTACAACAAATTTGTTTTAGGGTCCTATTAGCAGTTTGCTATGTGAGCCCATTTTCACCATGGAATAAAAATGTAAAAAGATAATTGTGACTTTTTAAACTCAGAATTGTTAACTTTTTTTCTCGCAATTCCAAGTTTATAACTAATTACGACTTTTTATCTGACAATTCTGACTTTTTTCTTGCAGTTGTGAATTTACATCTCACAATTCTGCCTTTTCTCACAATTCAGACTTTTTCTTTTCGAGTTTATATTTTGCCATTCTGAATTTATATCTTGCAATTGTGAAAAAAAAGTCTGAATTATGAGAAAAAATGTTGCAATTACATTTTTTTATTTATCCTGTGGAGGAAACTAGCTTCCATAAATTGCATTTGAATACACTGTAAAAAATGTGATGATTAATAAGTCATGGCAACATATGGCTATTTCAAATTCCTTTTTTAAGTTATACAAGACTAAACCAGGCAAGATTTGAAAAAAAAGAAAATGTTAAAATGGCTTGTTCAGCCAGTTTAAAGGCTGCAAGGCTAAACATCCTCTGGCTCCGCCCTGCTACAGCATCCACGCCCTAAACTCTTGCCATTGGTTGAGCTGGAGTGATTGACAGACCTGAGCGGACCTTAATAAATCTTTTGATGGTGCACAAGAGGCTCAGTGTTTTCACTTTTTGGAGAAATAAACCCATTAATGGCGTATTTATAGTAGTCAATGAACAATAAATTAAGTTAAGAGAATGTATTATAACATTTAAAGGGGTCATATGATGCTTTTTTAAAGATCATTATTTTGTGTATTTGGTGTAACAGAATATGTTGACATGCTTTAATGTTCAAAAAACACATTATTTTTCAAATACTGTACATTATTGTAGGTCCTCTATGCCCCGCCTCTCTCAAACGCTTCATTTTCTACAAAGTCCCTCCTTCCGACAAGCGCAGTCTGCTCTGATTGGCCAGCTGACCCAGTGCATTGTGATTGGCCGAACACCGCAAGCACTCGTCGGAAATGTAACGCCCCTTACCATAATCACAAGCTTCATCTTTCAAAATAAATGTAAAGACAGAGCCTGAAAGGGGAACAGAGACAGTGACAGACACAGTGATGAATATGTGTTTGCAGTACACAAGCCACGGTTAAGACAGCTGACTCCACTGTGATGTGACCGCCCCCCCCTCTCTTTCGCGCTCTCTCTCTCACTCTCTCGCGCTCGTGCACACACACACACGATGCGCAAAACTCAGCATTTGAACAGTCAATAGCAAATACTTAAACTAATAACAAAACAGTAGCTGATTCAGAAGCGCCAGATTGTCATAGCAAAGTCAGAATGACCTCCTCTCCTAGGTTCACGAAACGGTCGTCCATAAAATGCATTGCTGTTCTGTTGTAAGTAATCTTAAAGATTTCTAAATGCATCTACTTTCGGAAGGCCAAATAAAGTGCTTTTGCTTTCGCCTAGAAACACACAGCGTCTCCCTGACATGCTGCTTCAAAACTAACTGCGGTTACTGAAACCACGCCTTCTTTCTTTGCGTGCACATTTGGGCGGCATTATGCAAATATTTCCACATAGTGAGGTAGATATGTGGCGGCGTGTTAGAACGAGCCGTTTTAGGGGGGCGTGGCAGAGGTTTAACTTTGATAAAGAATATCTCTTTGGTTTTGAGACTTTAGTCTTTGCAACTTCAAGGATCTTATCTATGCACAATCAGCTTGTAACACTCCAAAGAGAAAGGAAAACTTGAAATCGCATCATATGACCCCTTTAAAACAAATTTACAAGTTTGTTAATAAAGTGACTGATGTTCTTGTCTTGATGGCAGCCTGTGATCAGCTGGCTCTCGGTGTGGCCGCCGTGTTCGGCCCGTCCCACAGTTCTTCAGTGAGTGCGGTCCAGTCCATCTGTAACGCGCTGGAGGTCCCTCACATCCAGACCCGCTGGAAACACCCCTCTGTGGACAACAAGGACAGTTTCTACATCAACCTGTACCCAGACTACGCCTCCATCAGCCGTGCCGTACTCGACATTGTGCAGTTCTACAAGTGGAAAGCAGTGACGGTGGTGTACGAGGACGCAACAGGTGGGACAGTTTCTCTTTCATTGCTCAGGAAAGTGGCATTCTCAGATATAATTCAAGTATCAACTTTGACTCGTATGCTTCTCCTAAAAAAATTAATGTGATATAAAACAAACACAAATGAGACAATTATTTGCATAAGTGTATCAAATGAATGTTGATAGCAGCCCAGATGGAACAGAGGAAACACACACACATATGTAATGGCCTCATACAGCATTGATGTAATTAATTAGTCTCAACTAATTAAGAAGAAGATACTTTATGGAACTTTTCCAAGTATGCAGAAATTAGATGCATTTATCATCATCATATTAGTGTGTGTATGCCATATTTATCAACCAGCCCGTGAGTGTCTGATGGTTGTTAGGATCTTGATGCTTTATGAACAAAATGTCCATAATTCACACGCTCTGAATACGACATTTTTGTGGAAACTGGTGCAGTTAATATTGACTTTGCGATCATATCTGGGATAATTTGTTTGCTGAAGTGACATTTCTTCATTATTAAAAAGATTAGGATCTGATTAACTGTGTGTAATTTGTCAGGGCTGAAAAATATTAAAAACACCAAAACAGCAACATTCCTGTTTGGAAAAAGACGACGTTTCCGGTTTAATTTCAGATGATGAAAAATTTAATTAAAGCTGAAAATCTGCTTGAAATGTTATTTGCTATAACTGAGTCAAAGCAGAACTTGATTAACTCATTTGACACACTACATTATCATAATATTTTTGAAAGAAGTCTCTTTTGATGACCAAGGCTGCATTTATTTGATCAAAGCTGAATTTTCAGCATCATTACTCCAGTCTTCAGTGTCACATGATCCTTCAGAAATCATTCTAATATGCCGATTAGCTGCTCAAGAGACATTTCTGATATTCAATTTTGAAAATAGTTGTGCAGCTTCATATTTTTGTGGAAACCGTGCTACATTTTATTTCATGATTATTTGACGACTAGAGAGTTAAAAAGAACTGTTTCTATTTGAAACCTTTTTAAGATTATACTTGTGTTAACTGTCACATTTGCATAATAAAGTAATTAATTTCTTTTTAAAAAAAAATTACTGACCCCAGACTTTTGAATGGAAGTGCATTTCTCTAATCTATGCTGATTTTGTCTGTGTAATATTTTTAGGGCTAATTCGTCTTCAGGAGCTGATAAAGGCTCCGTCTCGCTACAGCATCAAGATCAAAATCCGACAGTTACCGATGGGAAGTAAAGACGCTCGGCCGCTTCTTAAAGAGATGAAGAAGGGGAAAGAGTTTTGTGTCATCTTTGACTGCTCGTACCAGACCGCAGCAGACGTCCTCAAACAGGTAACACACCAGGAGCGAACTCAATTGAGATCGCCTTTCAAACTCCAATTCAGTTTTTAAATTCATTTTGAATTTAAAGTGAAGTACCAAACAGAATGCAGCTATGCAATTCGAATTTAAATGAATGTAATTTGAATTTTGAATATGAGTGTAATTGTTCACGGAAAAAGCAAAGTTTGTAAAGACAAGCCTTGTTTGAAAGTTTGAAAGTTCTGAAAAAAGTTTTGAAGTCAAATCTATAGGCTGTTTGTTTCCTAAAACGCAAGACCTGTCCTGTATTTTATATTGAGATATTGTTATATTACTCCATAATAATCTGATGTTATGCACTGACATCATCAAATCCTATTTACTGTGTTACAGCAGATAATTTACTCAACCTAACTAACACTGGGAATGAGGAAAAGAATGATTACAAATGATGTGAAAGGCTGAGAAAATGAGTGATGAGTGATGTATTGTGCAGATGGAAATTTAACATGTTCTCTCTCTCTCTTTCTGTTGTAGCTGTTGTCTATGGGCATGATGACTGAATACTACCATTTCTTCTTTACCACGCTGGTGAGTTTTGTATATGGTTTCTTTGAGATTTTCTTTGGTTCTGTCTAGGGTTGCAAAAAGGTGGAAAATTTCCAGTAAATTTCGGAAAGATTCCAGAAATTTTGGAAACTTTCCAGGATTTTTTTTTTGAATATTCCAGGGATTTCCGGAAATGCAACCCTAGTTCTGTCATTGGTTTGATTGGAAATTTCAACAAGGTTTGTTCTGCTGATTTGCATTTTGTTTTTAGTCAATAAAGTGCTGCAGGGTTGACTTCTTTTTTTGTAGGCCAATCTAGAAATTCACATCTCTCTGGTTCCCTCAACAAAGACACAATAAGATTTTTCCATTGCCTTTTGGATTATTGCAGAAAATAAGCTCTGGGACCAACAAAAGGTTATGATTCTTGCTTGTTTTGTTCATCATGATAATCTTCACAACTATTATGAATTTTGAAGCCTAATTGCAATAGCCAGAATTAAAAATCTAAACATAGGCTATAAACAAACTTCACCACGATCACACCACCAATTATGGTTCAACAGCTCTATCAGTCTTTATTTAAAAAGTTTTTTTTTTAAATCCCAAGGTCGTATTTGCTGATGTATTTTATGTCATAGAATAAAACTTGAAAATATTTTGAGCTTGTGTTAACCACAGACTTTATTTCAGGCATTTAACTAAAAACCCATTGACTTGTTTGTTTCTGAGTTTAGGCCTACAAAAATAAATCATGCCTACCGTGCTCTATAGCTAGAAACCAAGCAGCATTTTAAAGGGGTCATATGATGCGATTTCAATGTTTCCTTTCTCTTTGGAGTGTTACAAGCTCTTGGTGCATAAAGAAGATCTGTAAAGTTGCAAAGACTAAAGTCTCAAATCCAAAGAGATATTCTTTATAAAAGTTAAGAGTCAGCCACACCTACCTAAAACAGCTCATTCTAACACGCCCCCACATGTCTACGTCACTATGTGGGAAGATTTGCATAACACCGCCCAAATGTTCACGCAAAGAAAGAAGGCGTAACTTTGATTCTCGCTGTAGTATTGTTGTTGCCGCCGCCATGTCGTGAAGGCGCTGTGTGTTTCCTTGTGAAAGCGAAACTACTTCGTTTGGTCTTCCAAAAGAGGATGATATCCGCTTCGTCATGCCTGGAGCTGATCTGTGCTGGTCGCTGAGGAAAAACATCAACTTCGCGCTGTGGATCACCGGATCGGCTTTCACCGTGGATGAAGCGGAGTCCAGCCCGGGGTCGTCACATGTGGTTGCCGCAAGCCCGCCGGCCGCTCCTTCGTCGAATCCGCCGGCCGCGCCGTTCTCAAGCCCGCCTGCCTCTGCTCACTCTAGCCGGTCTCCACTCACGCTAGGCCGCGGCTCACTCTAGGCCTCTGCTCACTCAAGGCGTGTGACGCTGTTTCGTTGTGAAAGCGAAACTACTTTGTTTGGTCTTCCAAAAGAGGACACGACTAGAAATCAGTGGTTAAGTTGTATTTACAACACTGTTCCAGAACAGTTCAACCCAAATATTCAGATGTGTGCAGCGCATTTTATGGAGGGCTGTTTCCTGATCCTGGGAGAGTAGACTACAATGCCGGCTGTTCTGACTCACAGACTGTAAGTAAGTTTTTTATATTTAAAGGATTTGCCACTGATGACCACCTCGCTTTTCAGAACGATGAGCTTTCTAAAAATCGACACGTTTCAGAAAGGCGGGGCATAGAAGAGAAACATTAATGTACAGTATGTGTTTTTTCATTACACCAAATACACAAAATAATGTTCTTTTTAGCAGCATCATATGACCCCTTTAAGAAAATGAATCTATTGTTAAACTTCATATATTGATGTAACTTTGACACACTTCAGGATCTGTTTGCGTTGGACCTGGAGCCGTACCGATACAGTGGCGTGAACATGACGGGTTTCCGTCTGCTCAACATCGTCAACCCTCATGTGGCGTCAGTGGTGGAGAAATGGTCCATGGAGCGACTGCAGGCTCCACCCAAACCCGAGACCGGCCTGCTGGATGGAATGATGACAGTCTGTCCATCCTCTTTTCCTTTATGTATACACTCTTACAAATAGTTTGCAAAAGAGGGTTTTAGAAGAACGATTTAAGGTTCCCCAAGGAACCTTTTAGTGAACAGTTCTTAAAATAACTATTTTTTTCTTAATTTGAAGAGCATTTTTTAAAACTGTGAAGAACTTCTTTCCAATTTAAACAACCTTGGAAAGGTTCCATGGATGTTACAGGTTCTTCATGAAACCATCAAATGCCAGTAAAGAACCTTTATTTTCAAGACTGATATGAAAATAAAGGTTCTTTATTGGCATCAATACATTTCAGTGAATAGTATGGTTGTACATGTAAAAAAAAAAAAAACATGATATTTCCATAGAAAACACCTCCACAGAATAGTTTTACCACGGCACTTGATCAAAAGATCTGCTTTATCTGTTGTCTTACTGTGCATCGATTAAGCCAAGTCATTTATTTCTAAAGTGCTTTATACAATACAGACTCTTTCAAAGTAGCTTCACAGTAATAAACAGGAAAATAACAGTATTAATGTTGCAAAATTAATTATGAAACAATTTCAGCTTTAGAACTCAGAATTAGTGCTCTGCATTTATCCCATCCAAAGTGCACACACACAGCAGTGAACACACACCCGGAGCAGTGGGCAGCCATTTATGCTGTGGCGCCTGGGGAGCAGTTGGGGGTTCGGTGCCTTGCTCAAGGGCACCTCAGTCCTGGTATTGAAGGTGGAAGAGAGCGCTGTACATTCACTCCCCCCACCTACAATACCTGCCGGTACAAGACTCAAACCTTTGGGTTACAAGTCCGACTCTCTAACCATTAGGCCACGACATCAGTTATGAAATGAACTCCGTTCAACTATAAGCAGCTCTAGCTTAATGTTGATTTAATTCAGTTCAATAAGTGCCAATATTGTGAAACGAGTTCAGTTGAGCTATTAGGCAGCTCTACAGAAGACAACAGTGTCATTATTCAGCTCAAGTCACTTCAGTGTTGATTCAGTTAACTGTGAAAAGTTCATACATTTTTATACAAATTCGATTCAGATATAAGGCAGCTCTACAGGAGACAACAGCATCATTATCAGGTTTTGATCAATATTACTGAATATTTAGTGTCTTTTGAACCCATAATTTGATTCAGAATCAAGTGAGTCATTTCATTATGTGGACAGATTCATCTAGTCTAGTTTCATGTGTGATGGCTCATTTCTATGTCTGTGCCACAGACTGAAGCAGCTCTGATGTATGATGCTGTGCATATGGTCGCTGCCGCGTCCCAGCGAGCATCTCAGATCACCGTCAGCTCACTGCAGTGTCACCGACACAAACCCTGGCGCTTCGGCTCGCGATTCATCAGCATGCTCAAAGAGGTAAATGCACCTGTTCAAACACTCGTCCAAAACCAAAAGAGCAGTTCACCCACAAATCATCATTTACACATCAGGTACGTTTGAGATTAGTAAATGATGACCGAATTATCATTTCTAATCTTTTAACTGTGTCAGATGCTCCTGAACTCTGATAGAGAGAGTTTAGTCTGTTTAGTCCAAATGCAACATTACTCACTTTTCTGGAAAGTGTTTCGAGCCACTTCTAAACAGCTGCAGATGATTTATGTACAGACAATCTCTCTCTCCCAGTGACATCTTCCAAGTGTTCTTGTCAGAGCTTCCTGTTTCGGAGGAGGTATTGTTGAGTCAGCATGCTGGCATTGCAGTCTAGAGGATGAATGTGTGTTGGATGAGAGCGTAATGGCTCTAGCTGAATTAGTGATGCAGTGCGGCTGAACTCATTACAGTGGAGATGTCTTCATTTAAATGTGAAGCATGTCATTTCTGCTCTACTAGTGGCGCTGAATGGAACTGTAACCAAATGGGCAACATTACAACATTGACTTATCTGATGGTGTGAATTTGGGGGCTGCCTGTTTGGTCATAAACAATGACTCAGGATATTTTTATTTATTTTTAATATCGTGGTTTAGGATAATTGGAGATTTTTTCTCTTTATATTTTTCATAATTTTGTTTCCTTTTTGGGTGTTTTACTTTATTAAACACAATGTTAAGTAGAGAGAAATGAAAATAAAAACTAAAAACAACATTAATTATTGTTATTTGTAATAATTTCTAAAGAAATAATTTATTTAAAAAATTAATTATAACATTGAATTATTATTATTGTTTGATCTGAAGTGACAGGAATTTTAAAAAATGAACTAAAACAACTTATTATTGTTGTTATTATTTAGAATAATAATTATTAATTATTAAAAAAAAAAATTTAATTATTATTATTATTAAAGTAATTAATTAATTCTAAAAATATATTTTGGAGCCATAATATATATATATATATTATTAAAATGTTTTTATTTTTTCCAATAATTTTAGTTTGTCTTTTTATTTCAGATTACAAAAAGGACTAATTCAATTTTCATTCCAGTGCACTACAGATATGTCAAAAGGAATCACTTTCACTGAACTCGTTGTTGGTTAATGCATCTCTGAAGTTGATAGATGACTTGACTTCTTGACCTCAGTTGATGATGATGTCAAATTCTTGAACTTAGTGAGCTTGAATAGGACAGTTAATACAGTCTACATTAAGCACTACTGAGTCTGGTGTGTTTAATCTTGCATGCTTTTGGTAATTGGAGCTCACTGTATGAGTGATCTGAGCAGGACGTGAGAGAAAGAAAGGATAAGTGAGATTTACACTAGAGAATAATCACTAAGAGAATAAGAACAAATCTGGACAAAGGTCATGTGACCTCAGTATATGAAGCGAGTCTGAGCTCCACTACTGTATGTGAAGATTAAGAATGCTATCCACCCCGTTTTAATTCTTAAAGAACAGCAAATTAAAGAAATAATCCACTGGATTTGCACATGAGGCTTTAGAGAATGTCTGTTGACTATATGAGTGCTGCATCCTCATAAATTCACATGTTCTGGGTGAAAGATCCACTGAATCATGTGTTGGACAGAGACCATTCAGACTGAACTCACATATTCACTCTGTGAGCTTGATTATAGAGTCCATTTACTAACAACTCCTTGCAGAACCCAGATGATCGATTGCTCTGGGCACTTCTGTTGATCAAGCGACTATTAATAATTTCTCTTAGCTATTTGTCACTGGGTGAATGGGGCTGTATAACATTATATAACATTAAACCCCTTTATATTTTTGAGTAAATTATTTGATTAATTTGTTGAGATGTTGTTGAGGGTGTTTTTCTTATTATACAATTATACAGTGTGCGTGTATTCTCAACTTGAAAGCTAGATATACTTTACTTCTAATAATTCTGTACAGAGAGAAACATTATTTCAGTTTGTACAGACAAACAAATTGCAACATGTGCCAAATTTATGAATATATTTGTAAATGTTTGGGTTAATATGGGGTATGTAGCAATGCCTTTGGGAAAGGATGCTTTGCTCAAGGTCCTTAAACTAAAAAGTGTTTGTTAGGGAAGAAAAATCGTAACGCATTATTATTATTTTTTTTTAATCATTAAATTAATAATAATCGTATTTAATAAATATATTTATTTATTCATTTATTTATTTATTTATTTAATATAAATACAAGGTGTTTGTTAGAAAATATTTAAATGTTTTTCTATAATAAATAAATAAATAAAACTTATAAAATGCATTAATCTTATTCTTATTTCATTAATGAATGTATTTAATTTATTTAGAAATAATTGAATAAAAATAGAATAATAACAGAATTGAAAAAATTATTACATCTTTTTATAATAAATAAATAAATATAATATAATATAATTACTTATTTTTATTTATTTATTTAATGCTGTGGCACTAAATGTTACGTATGTTACACATACGTAAGTGTTGTTGCTTCATGGGCTCCCAGGTTTGAGTCTGGTTATTTTGTCACATCTCATTCCCTCTCTCTCACTTTTACTTTGCTGTCTGCACTTTACTGTACTATTGAAATAATGGCAGATAGCGTCCCAAAACACATAACAATGTGTGTAAGCTAATAGATCAATGAAAAGTTGGAAACTCTGGGCTGAGCATGAGCCAAAAACACATTCTCAGCTAATGATGACGATAATGCTGCATCTGGCCTCTAAAGTGAGACTCTAAAGAGAGAATAAAAGCAAATGAGCAATCAGAGTTTTATCATCTCTGTCTTCATTACGACACCCTCATGTTTAATCTAGACGCCTGTTCTGGAATAAAATCAGATCTCTTGTCTTCTTTTAGGCTCAGTGGAACGGACTGACCGGACAGATCATCATAAACAAGACGGACGGCCTGAGGAAAGACTTCGATCTCGACATCATCAGTCTGAAAGAGGATGGGATGGAAAAGGTAAAACCAGAAAATAATCCCGTTTGCATGATCTGCATCTGTTTAAATCAATATCTGTCATGCATGTCAAATCTGGGCTTTTGTTTTCTTTTCACAAGCTGTTTATGGAAAGTGGTCGCTTTAACAAAGTATGGAAGAAGGTTTGTATTGAATGTCAGGAATGTGATGTTTAAGTCCCTTTTCCCCTTGTAAAACATACCAGGGTATTGAATGACACTATGTTAAAAACAGTATTACCATGGTACTTTTTCCATCTATGACCCTCAACCTGCTGACACCTCTTGTGCTGGTTTCTAGATATTATTGATGTCTTATATCCTCATGTTGGCAGATTCATGGCTTAGTTACGCATTATACTTAGTTTTACCACTTATTTATAATTGCATTAAATAAACGTAATTTATTTCCTTCTCTAATGCTGTCAAACTCTCAGCGGGTGGCTCCAAACCAAACGCAATGAAGTTATCGTTTTTGGCTGACACTCTAAAAACACGTTTTGGCAAAAAAAAAACAAAAAAAAAAACAGTTTGCTTGAATCTTTTTATGTTATGATAACCTCTAATGAAATCATGTTCAACTAATAAATTACATTGAGTTAGAGGAACTTTGATAACTGTTCCAACTAATTTCAACATAAATAGCTATATAAATAGTTATTTCTACCTGATTTGTTTGCATAAATTAGTGTATTTAGGTTGATTCAGTGATGTTAAATAATATTGACTGAATAAAAGTAGTTAATTTAAATGTTACCATTTTAGGTTACCATTCTTTCAGTGTAACAATTAATTTGTACATCTATTCTCCTTATGCAGTCTTATGCAAAGCATGCTGGGAACTAGAAACCAACTGCCCAATTTTCAAGTTATCAAGACAATTTGATTAAATTATATTAAAAAAAATCAATGAACACAGAAATTTGAGTTTAAATTGCAATGTTAAGTTGATATAATGATCAACATTATGTCAGTTAGAACTCATCGAATAATATTTGCAACTTAAAATGTTTAATCAAATCAATAAGAATTTTAGAATTTGAAACTTAGAATTTAGAATTTTAAACCTGCAACCATGTATTTATTTAGGTTGTGGTAACAGATGCCCTGAATTGACTTTATCAGCCACAGTGCTGAATTTTTACAGTGAATGCATGTTGTTGTGTTTGTGCCGTTCTGCAGGTTTACCCCGTATGAATGGTACAACCCTCATCCCTGCAACCCTGATTCAGATGTTGTTGAGAACAACTTCACCTTAATCAACAGTGTTTGGTTTGGTGTTGGAGCGCTTATGCAGCAAGGTATGAGATTTAACGCATGGTTTCCTACTTTAGAGTAATGTCCAAATGTGTTGAAATCTACAAAAATGTCTCAGTTAAACTCAGTGAAAATAGTGTCAATGTGTGCTTTCACTTTCATTATGTTCACTTGTTGGATAAACTTGGTAAAAGACACAAATGCGGTTGACCTTATGTGCTACAAAAGATCTTTCCAGATTATTGTGCAAATCATTCATTTGTGTCAGGATTATTAGAAGTGGAAGAGACAGAAGAAAAAAAGTCTGCAGTAGACATTTTAGATAATGCAAGTTATATAAACCACTTGCATCTTCTGGTTTTGTTTACTTATTTATTTATTTTAATTTAATATTATGTTATATTATATAATTTTTAATTAAAATTGTTATTTTATAAATTATTTTATTTTTTACTTAATTTAGAAGCCACACGTTTATTCTCTTCATGCATTTTATTTAAAAAAAATTATTTTAATATTATATTATTTATTTTTAATAATGTTTAAATTGTATTAATTATTTTATCGTTTGCTTTTATTCTGCATTTTACTTTTATCTTTATTTTACTTTGTATTTGAGTTTTTTAACTTATTTATTTAAAAAAATATATATTTTTTGGATTTGTGAACACAAGTAAAAACACAATAATTGTTAAAAAAAAAAAAATGAAAAAATATCCTGGATTTTTCAGCATTTTTAACCATTCGCTTGTTAACTGGTTGAACATTTCTCGTGGTCAGGATCGGAGTTGATGCCTAAGGCTTTGTCCACCAGGATTGTTGGAGGTATCTGGTGGTTCTTCACCCTCATCATCATCTCGTCCTACACGGCTAACCTGGCCGCCTTCCTCACCGTGGAGCGAATGGATTCGCCCATAGACTCGGCCGATGATCTGGCCAAACAGACCAAGATTGAGTATGGCGCCGTGAGGGACGGGTCCACTATGACTTTCTTTAAGGTTTGGCAGCTAGCTTTGATATTGTATTATTATTAGTCTCTATAAGCAAAAAATCTGCCTGTTTAACATTTCATGCAACATGTGGGTGTTTTGTGATATGTTTATTTGGCATTGAATTTAGACAGGTGGTTTGAGGTTTGACGGGAGAACAGCAGTTACTCCTCCAGACCCGAGATCTGTGATTTTACAAGCACAGATTGGCGGGACGCGGACCTCAGCCAGCGGGAAATACATGTACAGAGCGAATTAAAGCAGCTTATAGAGAAAGAGAGCGTTATATGGACATCTGTCACAGCACTGATCCAAACCAGCAAAGAAGGATTGCATGGCAGAAATAAGACATAAGCACAGGGAATCCTGTAGAAAGATCAGCATATTGTACATTTATTCACAGCTATAACATGAATTTTGGCAGAAGAAACTCTGCTCATCCTCTAAAAACCCTTGAAATTTGCACTATTGCTGTAAATAATTTCATATGTTTTTTGGAAGTAGAGATTATGAATATTCTCCTATAGAAAACAATAGTTCTAGTCCTGGATGCTGATTGGTGTATATCAACTATATCAGAAACAGCTTAGTTTACCTGTCATCAATAGATCTACTTTTGTATCTTTAAGTATCTGATAAATAAAATAAGATAAAAAAAAATACTTAAATATGAAATTCAGCCTCTCCTGTCTTATTTCTTAATTAGATGATCAAACATTAAAAACTGTAAAAGTCAAGTCAAATCAAGCCTTTATTTATACAGCGCTTAAAATAACAGAGAGGGAGTCCAGCGTGTTATGACCACAGATTACGCTCTTCTGATGGAGTCCACCAGCATCGAGTACATCAGCCAGAGAAACTGCAACCTCACGCAAATCGGAGGACTCATCGACTCAAAGGGCTACGGAGTTGGCACTCCTATTGGTACAATTACATAAAACACTAATTTGTCAAAAATGTTCAAGTAATGCTGAGATACAGCGTTTGTTTGTAAAACTATTATTAAATGTTAAAATGAACATTAACAAAAACTATTAAATGCTTTAGAAGTATTTGTCATTGTTAGTTCATGTTAAGTAATGTAGTTAACTAATGTTAACAAGTGAAAAGTTATTGTAAAGTGTTACCAAAAAAATCTTTATAAATATTTTTAGTTAAAAAGTTTATTTAGTTAGTTTCTTCTTTCAGTTAGAGGAACCATAATTCGGACCAGTGATATTTTGCAATATTTTATCATATGTATTCATATGTGCACATATAGCATAATATGGTGCTGATTACAGAAATGGAAAAATTAAATACTTTACCTTTTGTCTTTTTTCTTAAACTTGAAAAATAGAAGTACTGTCATTTTGAAAATATTTAGTAGTGACACATTCTAGAAAAATTTAATATATTTATATATAGTGTATATTATTTTATTTGTTTTTGTTACTTTTTTATGGTTTAGTTTCAGTTTAATTTAAATATAATAACCCTGAATTAAACTAAACAAAAATGAAAAACCTTGGCAACTTGCTGAAAGGAATAAGTTATTTGTTATTATTTTAGTTTTTAGACAAAAAATGTATAAAAAATTTTTTAGTTTTTTTTACGGTTTCACTTTTAGTTAATGATAGTAACTCTGGGTCTCTCTCAGGCTCCCCATATCGTGACAAGGTGACCATCGCCATCCTGCAGTTACAGGAGGAGGGGAAACTGCACATGATGAAGGAGAAGTGGTGGCGAGGAAACGGCTGTCCTGAGGAGGACAGTAAAGAGGCCAGCGCTCTGGGAGTGGAGAACATCGGAGGAATCTTCATCGTGCTGGCGGCCGGACTCGTCCTGTCTGTGTTCGTGGCCATCGGCGAGTTTATCTATAAGTCCAGGAGGAACCTGGACATCGAGGAGGTGAGCGTGGGACAGTGTGAATGGCACAATAAATACTGATGGAGCTGGTGGACCATGCAGGACTTCAGAGGACGTCAGTGGGAGTTTTATAATGGACTTTTGCTCCTCGACCTTATTAAATCCAAACACGCTGACGAAACATTACTTGCATGATGTCAGCTGTGTGAGAACTGGTGGCGACGTTGGATACTGAGCAACATTATTTTTTAAACATTTTTAATTTTCAGATGGACAAACAAAAAGGCATCTGTCAGTGAGATATGAATCAAGACAGGAGTGTAAGTTTGCAGTTGAACTATTACGCCAGTTACTGTATTGTTGAGTAGTTCACTTCCATGTAGTTTGTATTTAGATTTAAAAGACTTGAACGTTTTATTCTTTACAGACATATTCCTTCTTAATCTAATTTATGATAAGGCATGTCTGTGAGTTTTATTATAGGTGACGTGTGTAATTTTTCATGTTGAAATGAGTCAATTATACATCATTGATTCATAGGTTGATTTTCCAGAAGAGTGGAAACAACATTATTCTGTTTTTTTTTCTTTTAAAATGAATTACAATAATTACAATTTATTGCAATATTGGGGAAGTCAGTGTGGTTTTCAGGTTAAAAAAAGGGATACATTTATTTGGAAAATCTCTAAATGGGTTAGATTTCTGTATTTTTCAGTAAAAACATTTTTACAGTAAAATCTTCACATGTATAACATTAAAATATCATCAGTTTCTCAAAATGGAACTTAGAGTAGTTTCTCAATAATGATGGTTAATTTGTTATTTTTAAGGAACAAAAGAATTACTGTTTTAACATGCATGGAATGTCAAATAGTAGATGGGGAAACCTGTTTGAAAACCTTTTTTGCATTTCCATGGGCATGTAGAAATTACATACTTCACCTTTAAAGGCTCATTCTGACTGTCTTAGCCTTTCTCTTATGAAATGACTTATTTTATTTAACGACTGTTGGTAACATTTGTCTTAAAGCCGTGTGTAATACGAACCCTTTTTTTATGTCTATAATGCTGATGAAGAACCAGCATTGCATGAGTCCTAACCAGACGTGAGGCGTTAAGTCATTTTTCTGTCCTCATTAAAATTGAAAATGCAGAGTGAAGTGACAAAATCATAGCTGAACAGAGTATATGGGATGTTTTAGATGCAATATGGGGGTTATGTCATGGCTCTTTTCTTAGGACAAAACCTCCAATTAACAGGCTGGTTACATTTTATTCAGTCTACAGGTGCAAGACTTTGTCTTCATGTTTTCATCATTTCTGCTTTTGTATTGTTTGACACTTGAAAATGAAATATAAACACATGAAAATGCATATAAATAATTTATCACTTTGAAATTATTTCTTTATGAGCACAATATATGTGTTTTCCTTGGTTTCTTGATTTATTTCTTTTTTTATTATTTGCCTCTTGTAGTTTGATAAGCGCTTTAATGATTTTTGGCATGCAACGTTTCTTTCAGGGATGGACGTCCAGTCTTCTGCATCTGAAAATACCATGGGCTGTGATTGAATTCTATTTTATTATTGAACCTCTTTAGTGATGGGCTTCTGCATTGTTATTTCTTTTACGTCACGTCCGTAAAAAGAAAGAAGACCAGGCTAACTATATGGCGTGAGTGTGGAGCGTTTGTAGCTTGTTCTTACAACAGCTGCATTTAAACATGTCATCTCGATGGCTGCTTTTAATTGGTATAAGTTATAAACAGCAATCATCATTAACATCTGGGGAACCTGGTGTCAAAACTAAGAAACCTCAAACTTTGCAGCGTCCGTAGTTAAAAAGCAGCAGAAGCTTGTGCTAAAAAGAGAGTAAATATCTGCATGTCTTTTAAAGGGGTGGTTCACTGTCTTTTTTTTCTAGGCTTGATTGTGTTTATGGGGTGCAGTCTAACGTGTTAATGCTTTGTTTTTAAAAAAACATATTATTTTTCACATAATTTACCTTTATTCGACACAGCTCTGTCCCTTCTCTGAGAAACGCACTGATCATTTCCTGCTTTTATGAAGCCCCGCCCTCAGAAATAGGCGATGGGCTCTGATTGGTTAGCCAGCCCAGTGAGTTGTGATTGGCTAAACCGTCTCTAGTGCGCGTCTAAGCATCCCGCCCCTCACCTCAGCGGCATGTGCTCCGGTTGTATTATAAACAACGGCGTCGTTAATATCGCTTATCATTTTGAGCTCGATTGAGAAGCAGAGGATATTAGTGAAGAGGATCGTGCAGAACCTGTGCAAGCACGGCTTTTAATGGTAGGCCTATGTTTTTTGTTTGTTGTTGTCTCATACTTTTAGATACGCTGTTATTTGTAAATGCTACTGCTTATGTTAGCTTTTAATATACGGTTTTATCCTGATTAAAGCTTTAATACAGTACAGCAACTGCACACGCATCCATGTTTAATGCTTCTCATAGCTATGTGAAAATAAGTGTATAATTGGAACAGTTTATTGTTGGAGCTGAGCTGATGATCTGACAGAGAGAGAGAGAGAGAGAGAGAGAGAGAGAGAGAGAGATAGAGATGCAGAGTGTGTGCAGAGCAGTGGACGCGAGGAACAGTATTAAGAACCGCTGCTTTAGAACATTGATTTTGAAACTTGTGAATCCATTAGAATCGTTAGAAGACAGAATCGTGATTCATATTTGAATGGATTTTTACATGCACCTCTAGTTTTCTCTTCCTCTTCTCTAAAGCAGCGCAGGCCTCGCCCCCTTTGCTGCCTTTTCCCGAAGGCGGGGTTTATCTGGGTTTGTGATGTCACGAATACGGGAAGTAGCTCGTTGTAGTCCCTACCAGCCGTTTTTGTAGGCATTAAACTGCCAGAATTTTAAAATCTCCGTTTGCATTGAACTTTCAGTTTAGTAACTTTGCAGATATTCTTTATGCTCAAACAGCAACATTACACACTAACTAACGTTAAAAAAGTGAAATTGCAATCAACCACCCTTTTAAGAAGCGGCGATCTGAAGAGATTCAGAACTGACGCAGAGATGAACAGGTAAGTCATTTCAGTGGCTCAACAGGCATCTAGCTAACATTAGAGCACTTGTTCGCTTGATTCAGATAGGTATTGAGCTTCCTTTGTTGTGTTTGTCATTTTGCTGTGGTCAGTACGGTAAGTGGCACTTCTTTTCTGTTGGATATGCGTCAGAGCAATTCTGCTGCATAAATGTTACTTGTCCAGATATATGCCCAGTGGGACATATGTAGATGTGCAGTGACAGATGCGCTCTGATGTGTGCTGTGGTGATCACCAATTCATCCGCGCACAGGAGCAGTGCCGAAGCAACTCCGCGAGTAACTTGTGTTTTTATGTTTCAAACAGAGATGGCGATAAAGAGGCAAAGTTACGTACTGCAGCTTTAAGGGAGAAGTTCACCCAAAAATGAAAATCGTCGTTTACCTCATTTTGTTCCAAATTTGTTGTGTTTTCAGTTCATATGGTGATTTAAGCTTTCAATCTAAAAAAAAAAAAAA